TGTTGATGTTTAGCCTGTTTTACTCCAGTACTTTTAGCTTGTTTTATACAGTACCTGTAGTTTTTACCTTGTTTTTTAGATGTACTGTAATGCGCACACTGGGGACTTTTGCAAATGTATTCCAATGTGGTTTAACTGCAAATGGCAAATAAAGTTTGCATTATTCAGAGGAAGTATGCCAGACCAAATTTAGGCGTGTGCATTAATTTAGGCACCACAAAAGAAAAATGAACTCGATATTTTGTACATCCTCCTTCTGCAGAAATGACAGCCTCTAAACGCTTCCAAATGAGTCTGGATTCCGGCGGAAGGAATTTTGGACCATTCTTCTTTGCAGATTCTCTAGTCCAGTCAGGTTTGATGGGTTCCACAGTGCAGATGAAACTCATTCGAAAGTTCATTTATTTCTGTAATTCAACTGAAACCAAGACCAATTATGATTGGACTCATATGTTGTGTTGTGTTGTGTTGTGTTGTGTAGCGATATATGTCAATAATCTTTTTTTCTGAGATGCTTTATTTGCCTCAAAGCTCTGAGTCGTAATTATCAACACTAGCAATTAAAGGATTGATCTGTCAAATAATAGTTTCACATCGTAAGTTGAATTACAGAAGCAAATGGAGTATTGAACAATGTTTTAATATTCTTTATTGGGAGTTTTAGCAGTTTATACTCCTGTTTGTAATTGTAATTTAGGTTGGATCTACGTTCATACAGTTTATCTTTACAACGTATGAAACTGTTTTTTTGACAAGCAGGCACTTTTACTTGAATTGCACTTCGCCATCAAAAAGAATGCATTGTGTATAGAAGAGGATATGTTTATGGGTTTTAGGGAGATTTCGTGCATTGAGAGGATGCGAACGAGGAGCGCTAAGACCTCTGCTTTTAGCCAATTGGCTCACTCCTGCCTGAATGCTTTTAGGCCTGATCTCGACCTGATCCTTCTGTCGGTCTCTCTCCCCTCTCTACTCCTCACATGGCCTTTTACTTAGCTTTACTACTTTGTGTCAATCTCTTGCTTGAGGAGTTCATGTGTATTTGATATTGTGACATAGACCAGCCTGCATTAAGGGCTCGCTCTTTTCCTGTTGCAAACTTAGGGATTGGTTTAACAACATTTAACACTTGTTAATCATGGTACAAACAACAAAAGGAGAAGAAAGTGTAATGTTTGTTGTATGTTTCTGTAGGACTTTAATATTTATGCATTTATTGACCTTTATGTAACCGGGAAAGACCTACTGAGATTTCAAAATGCCCTGCAGGGAGAGGGGGGGGGGGGGGGGGTTACAGGAGACTATTGTACATGTTTGTAGTGGTAAGGGAAACCGGAGCACCTGGAGAAATCCTTTGCAGATACTGGGAGAACATACAAACTATCATAGCAAAAAATTGAATAATTGCTGTAGTGTAAGGCGCACGCGTGTTGTGCTTGTGACTTTTTTTTTCTTTTTTAATCTATGTCAATGTATTAGCGTTCCATATTGTGTAGTTTGAATGAGAAGACTGCTGGGAATCTTCTGTGCATCCTGGAATCTGAAGTCACAAAAATACGACATTTAAGTAACTCTATACAGGAATACTCTTCTTGACTTTTAATGGAATTGAGAATGTTATTTGAGGATCAGATGTTTGTGAGAAAAACTATGAAATAACACTTTTAGTTGTGTGTTTGTTGCATTTTTATACAATGATGATTGGCACAAGTATTCCATAGTATTAGAGTATTCAGATTGGATGCATATAACTAATGAATACTTTAATTAACACGACCATATAGTAATTCTGTAACTGCAAAATTATTGAGTTCACGGCACATAACAAGAGAATATTTTGAAAGTGTGTCAGGATTTTAGCAATTTTAGGCCACTAACTGATTTTGTGCTATGTAGTCGAGAATTACTAAAAAACGGACTAAAAAAGAAATCGTACTGATTTCATTACCACGTTTATTATATGATTATATGATGTTATAGTGGTTTTGATGATACCACAATGTGTCATATTGTGATATAGATCTAAAATCATTCAACTGCTCAAGAAATCTCACATTTTTCCGTGTTAATATCATCTCATGTATTTATTTTGTTTTGATGAGTATATTTTCAATTTTAGTTTTAGGGATTAATGTCTGATTTTGACTTTTTTTTTTTGACAACCCTGGTGCCATAATGTCTGAGAACCACTTCCAATAGTGCGCAGACATTGCTGCTAAGACAATATCAAACCATGCCATGCTGTGCACTTCTGGTAAAACCACATTTCTGGCTGCGGACTTCCCACAACAGATTTCGTTTAGGCCCTTTCTTTTTTTTCTTTTTTTTTCTATAAAAGAAAACAGTACGCTCTAAAAAGCTTGCAAAGTCGATACTTCCCTATACCCGAAAGCGCCTCTCTCGCATCTCCTCTGCGCCCTGATCAGAAATGGTAGTCAGTATCAGGAGGAGAGGGGAGAGAGCGAGGAAGGGGATAGGGGGGCCGGGCTCCTCGCCAAGCCCGGGGCCCCTCCTCTTCGAATGCGGCACAGCTGCCTTTCAGAACCCCGCCGCTCCAACCCATTCATCCTGGAGAGCCAAAAAAAAAGTGGCTATTTATTAGAATACTTGTTTGGTATTGTTCTGCGCCACACAAAAGACGCTTCATTATGTTAGAAGCAGAGAGAGAAACAATAAGTTGGAATTGTCTCTTTTTAGAGTGTATAATAAATGTCATTCCTTCCCGTCCCTGCGCCTCAGTGTGTGTTGAGTGGTGGGTTTGGGCAGCGGGCAGCGGGGCCTTGGCACTCGGCGGCTTGTGGACACACTGTATAGCGGGAATAGCAGTCTTACATGCGGCTTAGGACGGCTTTAGGAGTGTGGAGGGACAGATCAAACCACGTGCTCTGGAATAGACGAGCCGGGTGAAGCGTGCGTAAGTCCTCGTGTGTCAACGTGCGTGTTTCTGTATAGTATCAATGTGTTGTGACCTATTCAAGTGTAAATCGTCTTTTTATGTGCGTTATGTTTCATTTGTGGCTTTGGGTTTTTTACACAGAGCCACGCGGTGCAACAGTTGTTCTCATCATACTGTTTATTTCTTATTTTTTTAATCCATGGATTTTTACCCTTATATGTAAATATGATTTCAGGTTATGGTGTTTTCCAGTGGTGCATGACATGTGAGCGTGTTGTGTCAGTATGTTGGTTACATCATGCTCAACAGGCGGGGAAAGCAGGTGTACTGTGAGAGAGGAGGGGGCTTCTAGATGTGGGCTGTAGGACCATTGAAAGCAGGTGCTGCAGAATGGTTAAATAATGAAAATATAGGTCGAGTTGATACTGTGTGCAGTTGAACTTAAGGTTAACGTGTTTTGCGTTTTCTTTAGATTTTTAGGCGCTCGTATGTGACGCTCCCTCCCCCTCTGTAACGAGGTGTTGTTATTACAGGCCTAACGAGCACCGCACCTGTGGCAAAGAGCGCGCCACGTATTTATACAATTTACAACGTTATAATAATGATGATATTTATTATTTTAGCGGATTGTTTGTTTATTTGTTGTTTTCTTTATTTTATGCTATTAATGGCTTAATGGTATTTCAATATTGTCCAATCCATGATTTATATTGTAATGCAGCATTATAATAACAATAGCATTTAGCATCCATCGTTATTATAATTAATGTACACTAATTATTACTGATTACTTATTAATAGCTCAATTATAATCTAAATAATGCTAATATTGGATTATTATTATTATATTACTATTATTATTATTATTTTGTCAGCAGGCTGATAAGCTCCTACTCTGCAATACAATTCCATTTAAGAAAAACACATTTTGTTGTCTCTTTATTATGTTCTCATGATGTATGTATTTCTTATTTGACGGAGCGATGTTGCTCCTGTGGTTTTAGGCCCTAAAGGCGCTGCAGAGCCTCTAGTGTTGACCAGTGTGAACACTTGGACCCATGATGTGTCCAGATCCCGCTCCTTCAGGCCCCAAACACGCGGCATGTCCCGCAAAGCTCTAATTAAAAATAAACCATCCTGGGTGAATAGAATAGAGTGATTACATCGTTAGTCTCGCTGCGGGAAGTGGTATTTCGTTATCCCTTTCAATTAGAGGTTGATTGGGCTTTTCAAGGGAGGTCAGCTGTGAAATGTGGATTATATTTGCACGAGGACGAGACGCTTCAACTTGTGGAGGACCGCATGCGCAATACCGACTTAAAGAAGGTCCGTGCAAACACATCAGGTCCTCTCTCTGACTTGACACTTCTGCTCCATCAACAAAACATGTGAAAGTTTGGAAATAAACTCTCCTTGATGAGGGCAACATAGCCAGGAGACGGCGGCAGTGGGGTGAATAGCATCCGTTAACATGTCTTTATTTCCTCTAAAATAAGGCCTTAAAGTAAGAATGTATATGGTATTTGTTAAGGGGAATAAAGCTTTTGGGCTCATCATTTAGAATGTATACAGACTAAACAGTGCCCAATGGACCTTTCTGTCCACGCCTGTGATTGCGACATGAGCCACTTATTCTTTACGCTTTAAATCAAACACACAGTTATTTTGGTGTAGTTCCACTCTCTCATGAGGTCTCTCTGCTATTTGTGGGATCGACCCTCCTACTTCTCCTCCTCCTCCGGTGCGCTCTTCACGGGCTCTTAGTCACCTGACCAAACGCCATGCAGATCAGTCCGTGCTGCAGCCCCATTGGCCGCTCCTGCCTCATTTAACCGCTGTCACTGCACATCATATGGCCGCCGCTTCAAGCAACTTCCAACTGCGACACACACTGTGGCTCCAGCGCATTCTGCCGCCGTGGATGTGAGCGACAGAGGACACACTGGACATTTCTGACTATTTGGATTTATTTGGACTTGAACAACGTTTGTTCAGAAACTCTTTTGACGGCAATAGCGTGCACTCTTCCAGCGCGCCGTCAGCCTCCAAGACTTTTGTTTCTCTGTAGGTGGTACACTTTAAAGGCAGGTGAATGTATAGCATGATGATGGAAACGGACCTCCACTCCCCCGGTCCCCAAACAAATACGAACACTGGGCAAACGGGGCCGAATGCAAGCTCGAAAGCAAACCAGGAGCGCGTGAAGAGACCGATGAACGCCTTCATGGTCTGGTCCCGTGGCCAGCGCCGAAAGATGGCTCAAGAGAACCCCAAGATGCACAACTCTGAGATCAGCAAGCGGCTAGGAGCAGAGTGGAAAGTGATGTCCGAGGCCGAAAAGCGACCGTTCATAGACGAGGCCAAGCGACTGCGGGCCATGCACATGAAGGAGCACCCGGACTACAAGTACCGCCCGCGGAGGAAGACCAAGACCCTGCTGAAGAAGGACAAGTACTCCCTGGCCGGGGGTTTGCTGTCCGGGCCTGGTGCGGGGGTTGGCATGTCATCCTCTGGAGTTGGTCAGAGGTTAGAGAGTCCTGGGGGGCACAGCGGCTCCGGGTCGTACGCACACGTGAACGGCTGGGCGAATGGTGCGTACTCGGGACAGGTGGCAGCTGCGGCCGCTGCTGCTGCGATGATGCAGGAGGCGCAGCTCGCGTACAGCCAGCACCCCGGCAGCGGCGCCCACCACCACCACCACCACGCGCACTCCCACCACCACCACGCACACAACCCGCAGCCCATGCACCGCTACGACATGAGCGCGCTCCAGTACAGCCCCATCTCGAACTCTCAGAGCTACATGAGCGCCTCCCCGTCCGGGTACGGCAGCATCACGTACAGCGCGCAGCACCAGTCCTCCTCCGCCATGGGCGCCTTGGGCTCTCTGGTCAAGTCTGAGCCGAGCGTGAGCCCCCCGGTGAGCGGCGCGCACACTCGTGGTCCTTGTCCTGGAGACTTGAGGGAGATGATAAGCATGTACCTGCCCGGGAGTGAAGCTGGAGACGCGTCCATGCAGAGCAGACTCCACGCACTCCCACAGCACTACCAGAGCGCCGCGGCGGGGGTCAATGGGACGGTGCCTCTAACACATATTTAAGACTCATTCCAGAACTGCACAGAACCAAATACTTACCTCTTTTCCTAATTTGGCCGAGCCCGCCGCTACCTGCATTTTGTACAGAATGTTTATGGACTTTGTATTAAGGCTAAATATAATCACAGCTCATTCACCGAGCTGCGCGGAGTTCGAAAGACGCTTACCGATTATTGTGCTCATCTTTATTCTTTTTGTCTTTTTCCAGTCTGACATGAAGGCCGCAGCAGACAAGGCTTTGATTCATAATTTTGGGGTATTTGTAAGTTATTGAAAATGAAAAACGTGTCATAATCGCAAGAAAAGTGCTTTAAATTAAATGGGAGAAACATTCCTTTAACATTTGTGTTTATTTGCAGACGCCTGTGTCTTAATTAAATCATCTCTTTTTATTGTAACGCTAATTATTGTAAATTGTGAATAATTTTAATATTTTAAAATATGACGAACAACTACTGATGTAAATGAAATTGCTTTTCCGCGAGTGAAAAGCCTGTTATTGCAATGAAGAAACTCGAATAAATTCCAAGATGTTGCTTTGATTCTTAAAAATGGCTCTGCAGTGATTACTTACTTTCCCTGAGTTTGTCATGAGTTTACACAGACTACATGAACAGTTCTTGTTAGGCTTTACTCAAGCATCGTGTATTTGTTTGTGTGCGTAATGTGCGTAAAGTCAAGCATCAGGTCGAATATTTGCAATAACAGGCATCTTTAATATTTTAAAGGAGGCCTCACTGAAATGTATTCCATTTTATTTATGTCATTTCATGGTTGACCATTTGCCACAGTATTTTCTTCTTTTATAGGCCCATGTTAAAACCATTTTTAATTAGTTTTATTATGTTTTTCACATAACCCCCGTGGCTCTATTTTATAGGCCTAAACATAAACAGTAAATATAAACAATAACAATATTGGCCACATTTTGCGTTATTTGGAAATGTATAGGAAGATTTAATCAAGCTGGCTTTTAAAAGAAAGTTAATTGTATTGGATTTATGACTGAGCTGAGGTAATACATGTTTACACATGTTTTGGTCCAAGGACTGATGACAAAAATGACATTGCTCCGATTATTATACTCCTGGTCTAGTGATTTTCTTTGCAACAGAAATTCATGAACTTGACTTTGAATGTTGCGTGATTCCCAAAGTTATTTGATGAGCATGGTTGATCGTTAATTTAGCTGTGAAATGCTGTTTTTTATACTACATGTTGTTGTTTATTTTGTATGCGCGTTATGAATTATAAGACAGATAATTAGAAAATTAATTAGCTTGTTTTCTGAATACTCTTTAATTATGCAGTAGGCTACGATACACACTTTCTCGTAGACAACTCAAGTCTATAAAGTGGAAGTTGGCACACGACTGTGGTACACAGCCACAGGCGCATGCGTTTTGAACTTGTCTTTACTCCACGTGCTGCAGATTTCCTTTGGACCATCAGATGAGAAGAGCCTTCGAGACAAAAGGCCGAGAGGCGGTGCGTCACGCTCATCGCGATGAAAAAGAACCACGTTCTCCCAAATTTATCCCGAACAAATGCCACGTTGGTGACAGCGGCAGACCGCAGAACAGCCTGTGTCACTGTGCGTGAGGCGCGTGAGAGGCTGACCAGCCAATAAATCTCTCCTGCGCGCAGCTCGCTTATCTTGTAGCCAGCGATACGCCGTGCACCAGGCCATCAGTTGCGCGCACGGCTGCTGTAAAGCCCCGATCCCTTGCACTGCTGTCCTAAATGGGGATAATTAGCGTCACTTTATCACGCCTCTGCATATTTCCTCCTTGTGTCCCCTCCTCCTCCCCAAAAAATTACCAAGCTGCTGCTCGCGCGCCGCTGTCACAGAAGATTATGGAGACAGATTGCACAGAGCGAATGTGCCGAGCGAGATTAGCGCGGAATAGAGCAAGCAACGGGGCCAATGGATTCCTCGGAAGGGCCTTATCGTGCAATTACACGTTGACATGTTGAACAATCTTGCTGCCTCTTAATCCTGCCTATCTGCCCACAATGCACCACTGCACACTGCACGCTGCAACCAACTCACCACAAATTGATTCATTTTCAAACTTTGTTCCCCGATTTCTAGTTTTATTTCCCAGAGTTTTCTCTTGTTGGAAGTGACAAGAGGTGAGAGACTAATAGAGAACATTGGCCAAATCTCCCCCACACACGTTTACCACATCCTGAAATATCTCAGTCGAGTCGCACTGTTCAGTTCGGAGTTGAGCGTGTTCCATGCCCCCCCTCTCCCCCGCGCCTGGCGCTGGACGGGGCCTGTGTGGGACTGATTGTGGAGCGTCACTGTAGGAATTTGGCAGCGGACCGGGTTTGGAGAGGTGCCCCACGCTGGGCCCATTCAGCGGCCAGCGCGCTGTGAGGTTGGGAAGTTTCACTCAGCCGAACACAACTCAATGGCCCAACTCAATGTCCCCCACAAAGGCGATTACAAGCCCCAGCGCATTCCAGTGTAGAGGGACCTGGGAGCCGCGCAGGTGCGAGGCTAGAGCTGTCAGAAAAGCGAGAAAACACAGTGACGGGACAGCAAGTGGGACCACCCAAAAGCATCCCCGCTACAGGAAGCTGCGGTGAAAAGAAAAGAAAGAAGGGGCACGCACACGGACGCCCCGTGTGTTAAAGACCGCAACTGTCCGTCAGTGAAAGGACCCGAGGGCAGGGGCCGAGGCTGTTCCCATCGCATTCAGCCAAGTGTGGAATTCCTCTCCTTTTCTCATCCTTATAGTTCATGTTGGTTACGTTTATCGGACTGAGCTGTGTTGAGCCAACATCACCTGAGCGTCATATTAAAACATACAGGCCTAATTTAGGTGAAACTTTATTCCCAAATACAACATTCAACATCTCATTTAGAATTTTCAAAATAGTTTAGACTGTTAGTTTTTACTTTAACTCTATAATGATATATTTCAGTTCATTAGCATTAGAAAGCATTTACTAAGGAAACTTGGTTCGTAAAAATCCACAAAAAATGCAATAATGTTCTTTATAATTCTCCGCCAACTTAATGCACAATTGTGAAATGTTCAATGTAGGCTCATTTGATACAAAATTCCATCATGTAGTTTACATTAACTGAAATTTTTAAACTTATAACATGTTTCAGTCCGAATCTATAGCCGGTATAGACTGTCAGACTGCTCCAGCGGCATTGAGGTCAAATGCAGAGGACAAATGAGAGTCCTAATCTAATCTAATCTAATCTAATCTAATATAGTGACTATTGCTGCATTTATTGCCATGATCCAACAGTGATTATAGATACAGCTTCCCAAATGAAAACTCTCCAACGATGGGTTTATTTGCAACAGCACATTAAGGTTTAGTGTTTCACCATTAGACGCACATAAATAACAAATTATTCTATCAAGTACACTGCAGCCTGTGGGCCGAGCCTGCACTAGCCTCTGTCTGTGTCTAAATACGTAGAACTCTTGGATTGGACGCTTTACAATTGTCCAACAATGGGACAAAACATAACTCCAGACAGTAGGCAGAAAGTCTTATAAGCTGTTTTGTATAGGCATGTGCAGACGTTAGATGTTTTATCAATATACAACATTGTTCACTCTTATAATATCTTACACTCCACTTGCTCAAAATATTTAACAGGGTTTCCTCTATAGGCTTACAATATTAATTTCACTATCGTCATTTCATTTTCTTCAGTAGTGACCTGTCTAAACTGAACCTCAAGGTGATTATGCATCCCATGGCTAAATTTAGAAATTCAAATAGGCATTATTTTATAACAAGACATGAGCTATTCCTCCTTTGAAGCAAAACCAATCAATATGTATTTTCTTATACTTTTGAACTACTCGATGAGGTACATATTTGCAATGCACATATCCAACACTTTCCTGGTCTTACCACACCATCGTACACATTTCATTTCATAACATAGAGACATAATATTTGACGTAGTTTACGGATGGCTAAGGCCAGGCTAATCCAACACATACTCAAGTACTTAGAGCAGGCGTGTTAAACTCATTTTGTTCAGGGGCCATGTTTTAAAAAAGTTCTTTTCAAGTTAGTTTTTTTTGTTTAAGTTTGGATTGAATCACAACTGGGATAACTATCTAAAAATATGTCATTGAAAATTCATAGTTGAAAATACAAAAAAAAAAATCTATTTTAGCATTCAATTATATGGTGTTTTTTCCGAGAAACTAAACTTTAAAATGAAGTATAACATTCCGTAGTAACCCATTACCATCAATTCTGAAAATTATGTCATAACTAATAACAGTAATTCTTATAGGGGCCACTAAAAATGGTCTTGCGGGCCCGATTTGACCCACGAGCTTGAGTTTGACATACCTGACTTAGAGTAAAACCTGCAAAAAAAAAAAACAGTCTTTATGGCCCTTCTCCTTTGTGAGCTATCTGTACAGTATTCCCGATATCTCACTGCGCCACATCCGCTGGAAGACAGTGGCGGCGGTGCAGCAGCTCTGTGGTGTGTGGCAGGTGATCATTCACGTGTGGGCCTGAGATGGGGTTAATGAGAGGTCAAAGAGTGGAGATAAGAAGGGGCACTTTTACTGGTCCCAGTACGGAGCTGCAGTGGCCTGATAGCTGCACCTCCGACCTCTGACCTCCGGCCTCGGTGATCAACAGCAACAGTGGCACAGATTGGAACGCGTGAAGGATGTGTGAGCCTCGGTGCTGCTACAGAATCGAGATGAATCCGTCTTAATGATTATATGCTTCTCAATTTGTTTCCAGGGCCATTAGACATTAGACAGCTATCAGACCGTGGGGTACGTTTGATTCATTTCTAATTGAATGATAACCTTGTGGCTATTAAGTATTCAGGCGCTTGGACCACCCACAAGCATGTGTGCATTGTTAGCTTTGAACTCATTGTGTTGCTGTAATTAAACCAATGAGGGTTTTTTCATTTTTATGGCACTTTTACATTAAGAACAAAAACAACACTGGCACAAATATGAGAACTTTACCGCAAAGTAAAGCTATGAATTTGAGCTCTGAATCACACAGGTTTCATCAGGACAGCTTTAAACTCTTTTATCTTCATGACTCTGTGGAATACGTTCTGTGCAGCCTTCACAGCAAACTATAATATTCCCGTCTTTGCAAAAATGGATCACTTCAGGACCTTGGTCAGCTCCCTGTACAAACTGACGTGTAGTTTGTAGATTGATTGTCTGCACACATTCATGATTGAAGTGATTTGAGAGAGGGCTCTGTTGTTTAAGTATATTACTTGAAGTATGAAGAGAAATCCATTGGAATGATTTAATTGAGTGGTAGGAATTGTAATGTAATTGGCTCAGACCCACACTTGTTTGACTATATTATAAAGAAAATGTATTATTTTTTGTTCTTCCTCCTTCCTATTTGTTTTGCTGCACGGTTTTCTAATCTTCTTCTGGTGTCTGTCTCAGGTCGCAGACATGATCACCGTGGGACCTGTGCTTTATACAGACAGCTTCATGTCTCTTCCTCTGGCAGGCCGTCAGAAAAAAAACCTTTTGCAAAATGTCAGCCCCAAATTTACTGCTTTCACTCTGGCCTTTTGTGTCGCGTGCTTGTGTAAACCCCTTAATTATTCGGACACCTTTCGCTGCGGTGTTTGTCTGCTGGTGGAGTGTCCCATTTCAGAGGACTTTTTTATTTTCTTATGGATCAGTTGTAACAAAAACAGCTCAGTCCTTTTACTCATGTGTGCAATAAAAAACAAACACCAGTGTACAGAATCCCCTTCCTCCCTCCCTCTCCCCTTTCTGGATTCACTTGAGCCAGATTCACTGTCTTAATACTCTTAGTCCCTCGGTTGGCATGTTTTCCAAGAATTCGTTTTCAGATTTGCGAAATCTGTTGAAATGCCTGTAATGAATAGTTGGATGGCTCTGCATGTTTTTCTTTATATTTGACCAATCCAAAGCTCTGTTATGGAAGCCCTTTCTTCTCCCTCTGCGCGTGCACTCGCCGCTGTGCTGGCTTTGATATATTTTTTTAAGAGGACTAAAGGAAAACTCCCAAATGTACATTTAAAAAAAAAAAACATCCATTTGAAAGCAAAGAAAATGGATGGATATCTTATTGGTATTCCTCAATGTAATAGTATTAGTTATAATGAATATATGAATAGTTATAATAATAATAGTAATAAGTGAAGGTACCTTTTACATGTATTGAAAACCTGATTCAGATGCAGTATATTAGCAGATTATCACACCAACATACAACAAATACAAACTTTGAATGGATGATGCTGAATTTGAATCAATTGTTTGAGTACAGCCCGACATCACAACTGCATTTGTCTCTATGGACTTTTTGAAGTTGATGATTGCCAATTGCAAATCAGAAAATCAAACTGTCATTGGTCAAGACACGCCAACTTGTATTCATGGGATCTTAGCAAATGGTTATGTGTCCGAGAACAGGCCTGGTCCTTTCACCTCTTTCAGCTTGGAATTTGTACCATTATTTATTAATTTTTATTTTCTCCTCATACCTGAACAAATGCTTACAATTTGTCCAGTATTTCCGCTATAATATTAACAAGCAATACAAAATGATTATGACCTTTTCTAGTTTTTCATAAAGTGAGAAAGATTGTATGTACTACCACTCAAAGTATAGGCTTATATATTTATTATATATATATATGTTTTTTTTAACTGCTCTGCTTTCAAGGCTGCCTTTTGCCCTCAATTATTTTAGCATTGCCCCTTAAGTAATTGATTTTGGCAAGTTGAAAGAGTGGCGAGTGATGTGTGAAAACCGCAGCGCCAACAAATGGGAAAATAAACTGATGGCATAATTGCTACGAGTGTTGTAACCTTGCCTTTATTGATTTTGTTTTTGTAGCGAGACATTTGGCTAACATCAAAGTTGGATTCCATTATAACCCACTGTCATTTCTCTGCGCTTTTGTGATGAGTTTTGTATTTTCTTCAGCCCATCAGTGAGTGGTGCGCGCGCGAAAGCCAGGCTAAGTGTCGAGGTGCAGAGCGAGCGTGTTCTGGCCGCAGATAATGAGCATCTCAGGTGACTATATGCTGTGATTACCAGGTTGTTGCTGTTGTAGGAAGTATATCGCACACTCCCGCCTCACTGCCGCCGCATTCAAGCAAGCAGGCGAGCTCTGGAGAGATCCTTGGTTATCACACCCTTCCAGATTGTTCTCAACTACTTATGGAAAACACACACACACACACACACAGAGAGAGAGAGAGGCGCGTCTCAAGATGTGGCCACTCTTGCCAATACAAACCATGGCGTTAAGAACAGTTGTTGTCGTTTGTCGTCATGTGTTGGTTGTTTTTAGCATCTCTAAATTCCTAGCGTTGCTAAGGTGCT